AAGTCAGACCGCTGCTAGAAAATTCTCACCGCACCTAGATAGGTGCGGTGTGAAAATGTTGTTTACGGCGTTTTGAAAACGAACAAGCTGTCAAAATACAGTTTACCCAAACAGGCCAAGTGCTTTTTCAAAACGCCGCCGCACCAAATAAGCTGCCCCAAACGGTCATTTAATTTAATAATTTTCAATTATGCATTTAATTGTGGAAGACAAGAGGAATTTGAATTCAACAAAACTTAGTCAATTAAACCTACAAATTAAGTTAAGAAGCAAGTGGTTTTATGCTTGCTTCAACTAAGCCTTACTATATATATATATATATTAAAAGATTAATCACTGATCAACCCCATAGTCTGACCGAGGGGTGGATCCCTGTTCCAAACAGGTGTAAAATTCAATCTTATGCAGGGTTCGAATCCCCGACCTGAGAGACTTACCCCAAAGGCCGCAACCAATGCCGCACCCAATGAGCGAGGTGCGCGCGCGCACTCATATATATATATATATATATATATAAGAAAAAAACCCAATATTCGTATAATTAGCATTAGTATATTCCATTTGATTGTTACTTTATATATACATTAATGCCTCAATAAGATATTTTAAATATATTAAATTTTTTGAATGATTATTTTTAAATTCGATGACCTTGATTTAATAATTAAATATTATATATTTGAATAATAAATTATAATAAATTTATAGGAAAATATAACTTGTCACAAAAAAAAAAGACTCGAAATTATAAATTTATGAAATTCATTTTCAAGATAAAAAATAAAAACACAAAGAAATTATATATTTCTTTGGCCTGTCGATCTCCTCCGTTTTAAAAGCATTATTATTTAGTCAATTAGAGATAAATAGCCTAAATGCTTTTTAAATGTTTTATATTTTATCATTTGATTTAATTAAATATGATTTAAAACTAACAACGGTTCTTAAAAATATATTCCAATTTCACGTATATATTATTGTTGCACCCACAAAATGTGGGATATGAATAAATTGAAATAATGTTACAAGAGAACTTCTTTTTTACGAGAGAGAATATATATGTGAAGATATCGATAAGTCATCAATAAATTTTGAACGTTCTTTACAGTTCTCGAGGCGTGATATGAATTTCTAGATAATTTTTTAACTAAGAATGTGCAAACTTCAAATAAAAATCATCCAAAACTTTGATTTCAGTAAATTTACAGTTGAATTAACCAGCTTAATGAGATGAACTCAATAACACTACTGTTTGTTCAATCGAGTCAAATCAAGCTGTTAATCTATTTTGGAAAGCTTTTATTGTTCTATTGGAAGTCAAATGAGTTTCAAATCTGACAAACTTGTAGTTAAATCGAGCATCTCAACGAGACTAAACTAAAAAGGCCTAGATCACTTAGTCTAATATCATTAAGGCACTCAAATGTTCACAAAATATTTTGCGGCTGAAGGAATCTCTCAAGGTCATTCAATGGAGTAGTCTAGATTTCTTCTTTTTTTGTAGAGAAGCCTCTCTCAGAGTCTATATGTAGGGCCTTACACTTTTAAGAAAATTGGAGGAGGATAGCTAGACCTTAAACGGGAGGAAGCTCGAAATTGGAGGAGTAGAGGTCTGATATTCCATACCGACGGTTTACCGTACCCGTTCGCTCCTGCAACCATTGACAACCATTTTTCGACTGTCGTGAACCACAGTCGACTGCCTCCTGCTCATTGTAATGAAGCCCCTTGCAGAATCATGACAAAATCTCATTGTACGTTAAGGAGTAACAAAGTGTTGTACTGAGTAACGACCATCCTTGAGGAGTAATGAAGTATCCTACAGAGCAAAACACATTGAAGATGGTGTAACAATACCATAAAGATGGTGCAACACACTCCAAAGTTGTATAACGATAAACCTCGAAGATAGTGTAACAATGCACCATGAATACGGTATAACGTCGACACCTCCCAAAGATGGTGTAACAACGCTCCCTACAATAACTAATTACAATTGCCGCACTCATGATGCGATAATTTTATTCAGCTCATGCGGCTCCCAACCCTGGCCTTCTTGGTCTATGGAAGTTATCACAGCTTGTGCAGCTCCAAATTTTGACCTTTTGTAGCCTACGGATGTTATCACAGCTCATGCAGCTCCCAACTTGGACATCTACGGCCTACATAAATTATCAAAGCTCATGTACCTCCCAATTTTGGCCTCTGTGGCCTACAGATGTTATTACAACTCGTGAAACTCCCAACTTCGACCTCTATGACCAATGAAAATTTATCATAGATCATGCAGCTCCCAACTTCGTCTTTGGTGGGGCCTAATAATATTATCGCAATTCACCTCTCTGGGCTATGTGGTTTATAGCTCATGTAGGTCCCAACTCTGGGCTTTGTAGCCTACAGACATTGTCACAGCTCACAATAATGGCATGTGTGACCAACTACAACCACCAAGCTCATAGCTTCTGCCGCTTCCTACTACGACCTCTTCGGCCAACCGAAGCCTCTGAAGCAACCATCTATGGTCCACATGCCAACTACTTCCATGACTTTCAACTATAACCTCTATGATAAGGTCGCGCTACATCCACCACCTACAACATTCAGCCTTCCCATATGACTATCCTTGCTAAAATTCCATCGCAATAGTAAAGTAACCGCTTGGGAGGCCTTTTTTTTTTTACACTCCAAAGTTGTATAACGATAAACCTCGAAGATGGAGTAACAATGCACTATGAATATGGTACAATGTCGATGTCTCCCAAAGATGGTGTAACAACGCTCCCTACAATAACTACTTATAACTGCCACACTCATGATACGATAATTTTATTCAGCTCAAGCGGCCCCCAACTCTGGCCTTTTTGGTTTATGGAAGTTATCACAGCTTCTACAGCTCCAAAGTCTGACCTTTTGTAGCCTACAAATGTTATCACAGCTCATGCAGCTCCCAACTTGGACATCTACAGCCTACATAAATTATCAAAGCTCATGTACCTCCCAATTCCGGCCTCAACAGCCTACATATGTTATTACAACTCGTGAACATCTACAACCTACATACATTTATAACTTAGACCCCGCCTTTGGTGGCCTAATAACGTTATCGCAGTTCACCACTATGAGCTACGCGGTTCATAGCTCATGTAGGTCTTAACTCCGGGCTTTGTGGACTACAAATATTGTTGCAGCTCATAATAATGGTCTATGTGGCCAACTATAACCACCAGACTCATAGCTTCTACAACTTCCTACTACGACCTCTTCGGCCAACCGAAGCTTCTGAAGTAACCATCTATGGTCCACATGCCAACTTGATAAGGTCGCGCTACAGCCACCACTCAGAACATTCAACCTACCCATAGGGCTATCCTTGCTAAAATACCTTAGTCTTTCTCGCCACCCCTGGGGGGGCCTTTTTTTTTTTTTTTGGTTTTGCATCAATAACTATTGCAGCGATTTTATCCATCACAATTCTAGAAAATAAAAAGAAAATGGCATGCCCATCGCATGAGGCTTTCCTGAGCTAGGAAAGAAACATTGTTTGCAATCTTATAATAGCATTTATGAAGAGCTCGTTTCATGAAACTAATAGAATTGATTTTCTTTATTTAAAAGAAATAATATTTTAAAATATGGTTCAACCACCATTTAAGGTTACAATCATATAAAATCATCTAGCATTTCTTATGATATATAACCTTCTATTAGTTAATAAAAATGGTGTACTTTCTAAGCCTCCATCACACTGCACCTTACCATCTAAAAATAAGACTTCGGAAAGTTCAAGTGCTTCTTTCGAAATCACAACTCATTGAAGGGCTAGACATAACCACGAAGTTAGTTGAATATCAACCCATAGACATATATAAGAATGCTCAAATTGCTAAACATTTCCTAACATTTGCATAGACACCCTCAACATCACCATATTTATCAACCCTCTTCGAGGTCTGATAGGTTTATAAAATTTTAGATTACCTGAAAATTTGATCTGATTTACAAGTGATCTTCGAGCTATACTTTCGGCCCTTACCATAGAGAAGCATTTCTATAAAGAGTTGCACTCAAAAACATTTTGTATGTTTTACATACAAACCAGTCAATTCTTATATTGTTTACATATCCAACCCCTAAACTTCAATTTTACTTACACATGCCACCTTACCTAAGAAAATATTTACGTACGTCATACACACGTAGAATTGCGTGTGTACTCCGGTTATTTGGGAGTATTGGATGGTTACGTCGAACAACCTCACAAAACCTCTGAATGATAGTAAAAAACATGAGTACAAACTGTGGAAGTATTGGTAGGTTATTAGGAGATTATTGAGAGGTTATTCAGGGTTAATACCTCTCAATGATCTCGAATAACTGAGTTATTAGAAGGTTATTAAGGGCAGTACGCACGCAAAACTGCATGTGTATGACGTACGTAGATAGAGCTCTCTTACATATGCATGAAAAGCTGAATCTCACTTTTTAAAAGTTAAAATAATGATCTTTTTTATGCGATATGAAAGACTTAACTTGGTTGCATAAATGTAAAAATAAATAAATAAATCAATAAATAAAGATTAGATGTGAGAGATATAAATACAAGAGAATTGGGTGGTATATATGCACGTAAAAGCCATTTTTTAGTTCTTCATTATAATTGATAAACTTATGAAATTTAAGAAAGATCAACTTTTGCTCGTTGAGGATTTTCTTTTTAGTTCCCATAATCAATTAATGATACATACTGCGGAATAAGACCCGTTGCGGGCAGCATTTTTAAAACGTCAGCTCACCGTTTGAAAAACACGTTTCGACAACTTATCCAAAAATGCAATTGAGTTTTTAGACTAAGCCCAGACCGTGGGTCGAACCCCGCAGGTCACCCGCAAGCCCGTTTCAAAGAGGCACCATAAGTTAGCATTTACACATTTAAAAACACCATAATATATATATTTATATATATTCATCCCGCCAGATAATGCATTTGATGGGGCAAAACGCCAAAAGAAAAGAAGACAAATCCATCACCCTCGCCGGCGCGATGGGGTTTGATCGAGGGACAGAAACGCGAAGACTCGGCTGGATTTCATGCGAAGCAGAAGAGGGAGGTAAGAGCAAGAAAGCGGGAAGGAAAGAGGGACATAACATCTTCCTATCTGTTTCCTCTCTGCGCTTTTTCTTCTCTGCGTTTCGCTCTTCATGTTCCTGCCCGTTTATGATCATATCCATCACCAGCATTTCCGTGCAAACTACGGATGAATGAGCATTTATTGTTGTCGAAGATAAATATTGGATTTGCTGCAGCGGCGAAGTGATGGTGCCGAATCGCGGCAGGATGAGGAGACTGTATCAAGTTTGGAAGGGAAATAATGTAGGCCAATTGTTCTTTTTATCTTTTTTTTTTTCAGTATGTTATTGATGTTATTTGGTTATAGTTTCATAATTTTTTTGGTTTGGTTTGGTTGTATATATGCAATCCAGTTGACTCTGCTTTTGGCTCTCTTTTTTTTTTTTGAAAACGATGAATTTTGGGATTTTTGTTTTTGGATGTGGTTAGGAATAGATGATGGGTTTAAGTCTATAGAAAATTTCAAAATCGCTAAAATTTGATGATTTTATATACAAATACCAAATGAATGAATGCAGATTTATCAAGTTGTAAAACTTGTTCTTTATATGTTAGCAAGAAAATAAGTTTTTAGACTAGAAGATTGATAATTTGTAAGCTATGCTAGTGGCTGCAAGTTTTGCTTTTTTGTGAGTTATTTTAGAGAAAATCTTCATCAGGTATGGTTGGGTGGAGGATTATTAAGCCAATTTACATGGTGGTAGAATTTATTTGATCTAGATTAATTTAATATGTTCAATTATTTCCATTGATATTGGTTGTCAACCTTAGATAGGTGTGATAAGGTTATTGATGATGATGATGATGATGCTGACCTGTGTTAATATTACAAACATCTATTCTTCTATGGGTTATCTTTACTCTTTCAACAAGTTATTCATATTAAGCGGTTGTGCTTTGCTTAATTTTGTTCGTCTTGTTAGGAAAGAAATCCAATCGATTATAGCTAGTTCTAAAGATGGTTTTGTACAACATGGCTATAATTGGCAAATTTTTTTTGCTAGAGTCCTTTAGAGAAAATCAACCTCCTGAATGTTTTTTGTCCATTTAAAGTTGTCAGAGTGGGCTTATGTGACATATAAAATAATTTGAAGTGTTTAATTTTTATTCATATTGGTAGAGACTATTTTTTCTCTTTCAACTTGATATGTTTATTCTTTTTGCAACCGATCAGTTTTTTCTTTGTAAATTGTTATGTTTGCAATCTGCTAAAAATTAGGTTTGTTAAAAAGATTTAAGGATTTTGCACAACATGTTTATCTTTAGTTGGCAACTTTGCATTGTTTTATGTTTTGAACAAATAATCCTTAAGCACGGTTGCATGGTTTTTGTCCTTCATTTTTTTCAGCCAATTTGAAAGTTTTAAGAGTGTTCTTACTCTAGCTGTTAGAAAGAACTACTTACTTTCTTTCTGTGTTATCTTTTTTATATTTTAACATGTTGTTGATATTAATTGGTTACAATTTGTTGATATTGTTAATAGTTTCCATGTTTGTAATTTGATCAACTTTTGTTACGCCAAACAATCAATGACTTTGCCCAACATACTTATAACTGGTAACTTCACTTTGTTCTCGGCTATTTAAGGAAAGCGTCCCGCGAATGGGTGGATTATCGGTTTTTAGTTGTTAGAGTGGATTTATTCTACTTGAAATTATTTGCAGCGTTATGTTCCATGGATAATGGAAAGAGCTATCTCCTATCTTTATTATTTGTCTTTTTTAGGACTGCCTTAGTGCACTATTATTCTTTTTTATTGAAAAATGGGACCAAAAGTTCATCTCATCCACATTCTAAGTTTTTTATTCACAAAAAACACAACATTATTCTCTTAACTCTCCCAAAACTCCTGCTTTGAGCAATACCATGCTGAAAAGTACTAAAATAAAATGTTTGTGTTGTCTGCAGAGGTTCTTTTGTGGTGGAAGACTTATATTTGGCCCTGATGTGGGTTCGTTAATGTTATCTGTGGTTTTGATAGTTGGTCCAACAATAACATTTTGTTATCAAATAGTTATGAAAATTCAAAATCGTGACCCTCATCACTATGTACTTGGGATGCCTGCTCTAATCGTGACCATCGTCACCATGCTTGCGGTGAGCGGTTGTTTCCATTTCTACACATGATATAGTATCATAGCATGATTTTTTTTGGAAATTTACATACATACAACACAATTTTTATGTATCTACATATTTAACAACCAAAGTTTGACGTGTACACTTATAACACTAAATGCCGTAAACTTATGCATGGAAAGTTGTATTCCACTTTTAGAAATATAGTGATTGTGGTATTCTTGATGTGACGTTAAAGATTTGAGTGGTATGCATGTAAATATAAATGTTTAGGTGTTACATATGTGAATACATAAAAGACTTGTGTGGTATGTATGTAAATGCCTCTCCTTTTTTTTTTTGGGTGGGGGGGGAATAAAATTTTATACTATTTCACAACAACATATATAACATTATCATGTAGGATTTGATCTTTCTCCTCCGAACATCAAGTAGAGATCCAGGTATAATACCAAGGAATTCTCAATCATTACATTTCGAAACATCTGATGCCAACACTCCTTCAATAGAATGGATCAATGGAAGAACACCCCGCATGAGATTTCCCCCAACAAAAGAGGTTATCGTTAATGGTTTCGTCGTCAAGCTAAAATATTGTGAAACATGCATGCTTTTTCGACCACCCCGCACTTCTCATTGTTCCACCTGTAACAACTGTGTTCAAAAGTTTGATCATCACTGCCCATGGGTTGGTCAATGCATTGGACTAGTAAGTTTCTTAAAGTCAACTGACTTATACATGTGAAATGATCCAAACAATAGACTCCATCCTTATGTATTTACTCATATGCCACCTTGCCTACGCATAAATACATAAGAACTGGGTGGCATGTATGTAAATGACTCTTAAGGAGTTTTAAACTTGAAACTCTACAATTCCTTATATTTTTTTCCTTCAGTTTATAAATCTAAATTAATTGATTGCAGCGGAACTACCGATTTTTTCTCTTGTTTATATCAACTTCAACTTTCCTGTGCGTATATGTCTTCACTCTTTCTTCTATTAACATCTTTCAAGAGAGGAAAAACTATCACTACTCTACTATGAAGCTGATGTTGGGAGAGATTATTTCAGTGATTCTGATGTTATATACTTTTCTATTAGTCTGGTTTGTGGGTGGACTGACCGTCTTCCATCTATATCTAATCTACACAAATCAGGTAGTTCTTAATCCATAACACAGAACATTTAAAATCTATCTAGCAATCTGCTTGACTTCAACAAATGGCTTATTTTTATAATTTTATAATTTACCTGCTTGCAGACAACTTATGAGAATTTTCGATACCGATTTGAGAAGAGTGATAATCCGTTCAATAAGAGTTTTATAGAAAATATAAAGGAAGTGTTCTTCTCAAGAATTGAACCCTCGAAGAACAATTTTCGAGCATGGGTGCTTGATGAACCAATGGGAAGCATTACATATTCGCCGCATTTGGGGATCGATGTCATTAGCATGAGTGACAAGTTTGATGCTGAAATGGGTGGAAAGATGCCCAATCCTACCATACTACACAACTTGGGTCATAATGAATGCCACAAAAAGACTGAGAGACTTCAAGGAAATTCACAAGGTCCTCTAATTTCAGCTAAAATTCAGGAAAATGATCGTCAAGGATCAAAAGGAAAAAAACACAGTTTTGCAGATAAAGATGAAAGCTCGGCGGAGTGCAGGGATCGAAAGATTGAAAATGAAACAGTTATAGATGTTGTGGCTAATGAGGAACTTGGCTCAAGTACAACAGTTGTTGCTGCTGCTGATCAAGCTGTAAATATGCACCAATCTCAGGTAAATAGCTTACAAGTTTCATTGAAATTCTCTCATCTGTTATGAATTTTGATAGGCTAGTCAGGTGGCCAAAACTTCAAATAGGTAAGTTAGTAAAATAATTATAAAAGTTTATGTAAATTCTATGTTAAGTTACTGTAAAGCAATCCAATTTAAGAATAGCTACAAAAATTTAATAAAGAATTTATATTATGTTTTATGGGGGGTCAATAATAAAAAAAATAAAATCTAAATCCCAGATTCTCTCTCCCTCTCTCTCTCTCTCTCTCTCTCTCTCAATCTGTCTATCTAGAGATTTTCTGTAAACAAGAATCAATTGTCCTCTCTCTCTCTCTGTCTCTCTCTCTCTCTCAATCTGTCTATCTAGGGATTTTCTGTAAACAAGAATCAATTGTCGGAAATCTCTAAATCCAATCTCCCATTCCTTTCCTTGAACTTAAATATAATGTACAAAGTGCCTTGCTATAACTTTACAAATAATGTTCAATCTAATGAAAAAACATTAGAAATATGGCATTTTTATTCTATAGTTGCAAATGCATGGGTATTTTTATAATGCAAATTTTATTATACATTCTAAATCAAAGGCTTGTCATTATTTTGACAAAAGAAATTACGTTTGTGTTTCTCATTGAATGGTTCAACAATGTCACTCATATCATCTTTATTACAATACCTTTTGAGATGAAGATGATTACTGACCAATCCATTTGCCTTTTTTTTTATGTTTTGGTCCCCTGCAGGGTTCTTCTTTAAATAAAGAATTTTTTGGACCATAAATTTTGGCGTTCAATGCTGCGACCAATGGTGAAAAATGCAAACTAATATGTTTTATGCGTTCGTTCCGTCCGTTCAATTGTTATAGTTTGAGACTCGGACCTGCAATATTGTCATCATCAATATGATTTAGAAAATAAACAATGACGGTAACTTTACTACATTTGTGCATTATTTCAACATATTTATGGATTACTTGCTGTTTTATTTTGTACATAAATATACCATCCTATTGTCGGCTGAATGAGATTTGCTTAACTTTTTAATGCCAAATTTGGCCAGCATTTCAATCAATATTTGGATTATTGTCTTTGTTTTGATATGTTGTAAAGAGGCATTATGAGTTTCATGCATAAATTCAAAAAAGAGAGTTTTAGCCATTCAACATTCACTTTTAAACTAAATTTTGTGATAAATTATTAAATTCAATTGTGGAAAATGACCACTGATGTGAATGGATATGAATTTAATTTCTAATAACAACTTTGAAAATTAAACATCTAATTTCAATTCAAGCTCGTATAGTTATATACATATTCTTTTGTATTTACATATCTAAAATCTAAACTTCATCACCTTATCTGTATATGAAAAGGTGTATTTAATTTTTTTTAAGTTGAAATTGAGGTATGTTTTCTATATGATATTGTTGAATTTTGATTGTTCGTGTATCACACCCAAAGAATATAGTGTAAAGAGAGAGAGAGAGATGAAGAGAGAAGCTAACAACAATTCATGTGTTTTTATTTACAAAATAATCTCTTTATATATAAGGGAGATGATACAATATGATGATATTACATTTTTCCGACTATTTTAAAAGGGTTATAGGACGTTCTTGGTATTTTACATGTATAAGCTTATTACTCGGTTGCTCTCTGGCTCGATTGGTTGAACTTGATTGGCTTTGGGATTGTAAAACCAATTCGATCGGTTAGGTTTGGTCGGCGTTGTTAGCTGGCTAATCTAGTCTCATCATCAACACTTGATAATAGATGGGTGGACTTCCGGACGTCCTCAGTATGATTGGAGATGTTGAGGGATTTGGCCTTCCCTATTCTCAATTTCTTTGTAGTAATTGACTTGGATGTCTCTTTATCTCGTTTATAACCGAAAGGTTAGGATTCAGATAATTTGATTGTTTTTTTCTCCTTGTGGCTCCGGCGGCTTTGGCCCAGCCAGCTTTGGC